AACTATTCTCGTTGATTTTTAATTATTCCAGAAATGGCCAAATACCCATTTGGTACAGCTTGCACCACACTGATGAGGGCCAACAGCCCGAAACACGTCCGTGGTTAGCTTTTCTTGATTAATCAAGAATGGGTATTTGGCCAATTCTGGAATAATTAAAAATCAACGAGAATAGTTGATATTTATTCCGATAGATGGTGCAAGCCATCAGCAACATTTACACGATAAGGAGATGCCTTTTTCTTAATTTATGCACCTTATCCCAGTACAGTATCACATTTGTACTATTTTTTCATATATATAATTGTAAGAAAAAGGCATCTCCTTATCGTGCAACTGAAAGTTGCTGATGGCTTGCGCCATCTATCGGAATAAATATCAACTATTCTCGTTGATTTTTAATTATTCCAGAATTGGCCAAATACCCATTCTTGATTAATCAAGAAAAGCTAACCACGGACGCGTTTCGGGCTGTTGGCCCTCATCAGCGTGGTGCAAGCTGTACCCCAACGACCAAAAAATTGGTCATTAAGGCATCCTGAAAAATCATGAAACGGGTAGTTAAGGCCAGATTTGCGTGAGAACGCTAAACAATGTGAAAAAATAGTACAAATGTGACATTGTACTGGGATAAGGTGCATAAATTAAGAAAAAGGCATCTCCTTATCGTGCATGAGGGCCAACAGCCCGAAACGCGTCCGTGGTTAGCTTTTCTTGATTAATCAAGAATAGGTATTTGGCCAATTCTGGAATAATTAAAAATCAACGAGAATAGTTGATATTTATTCCGATAGATGGCGCAAGCCATCAGCAACTTTCAGTTACACGATAAGGAGATGCCTTTTTCTTAATTTATGCACCTTATCCCAGTACAATGTCACATTTGTACTATTTTTTCAAATATATAATTGTGTAACGAAATTTGACAATTATACCGCAAATGTTTCTTTGGAACGAAAAATCGAAATTTATTTTAAGGAGTGTGGGTGGCATGGAATTCTAGGCGGAGTCAGATAACAAATTATTTATTGTAAAATCAACTTTTAATTACATTTATTTATACAAATTATCAGAAGGAGTTGCATTGTTGTATTATTACATGTTGAAGTTATTTTTTATGTCTGTGTGTGTGGTCAAATATCAATTCTAGATTATATAATGTTAGACATATGTGCTTGATATATTATAGATAAATATTTACATTTCATATTACTTATGATTTATATTTAGAATGATGTATAATTATTTTATTATATTGATATGGCAACAATTAATATGATATTAATGTTAATTCATATAATTTTAATAAAGTATATTTTATAAGCATTATATATTTATAAGATGAATAATTTTAATATTTGAATTGAATAGTTATTAGACAAATTAAAACTTATAATGAAAATAGGAAAAGTTAATATTTGGGAGCCGCTACAGGAGAAATAACGATTACCATCCCTGGACACTTTATTTTTCCGTTTATCATTACTCTTCACAATTCATCCTATCATACTTCATCCCTTAGGTTAGAAATAATCGTTGTTTTCCTTGTTATGTACTATTCTACCTAATATTCAATAATATTAGGTAGTGTAGTTTCTATTTAAAGAGATTGTATGCTACTGTTATATATTTGCATAATATTATTACAGAATTATCATAAGAATTAAAAACATGAATATCTCACGCTATATATTGATTACATCATACAACCACAACCAAGTCCTTGGTCAAAACTATATAAACATATTATATATTACACTCCTTAAAATAAATTTCGATTTTTCGTTCAAAAGAAACAGGTGCGGTATAATTATCAAACTTCGCTATACAATCATAAACCGCATTATATTGTATTATATAATTGTATGTTGATAATGAATATCCCGTTATAAAATATAAAAGTCAGTGGACGAGTGGGTAACACCCTCGATTCCCGACAGTCATGAACGGGGATTGAATCCCGCGTTAAAATTTTGTTTAATATGTGAACTTCACATATTATTCACTGTTTCAATTATCATGAACTAGGTTGCTCTTGTTGAGCGGTACCTATTAATGTGATTTTGAACCGGATTATAAAATATTAAACAAATAACTTTCTATGATAAATCAATAAATCTCAATTAACTTAGCGTTTTGGAATGTTGATCAGCGTTGTACGGTCTGTACTTTTTCGTGCCTTTAAGGTGATCAAATATTGATGTTTCTAAGAAAGAAGGAAAGCTAACGTCAATGAGATTCTTTATAAAGCAATATAAGCTTGACGAACTTACGGACAATAATGTCCTTCAACAGGTTCTAATACGATTCGTACTACAGGCTGTAATTATATTCGTATCACAGCCTATTGAAGGACCTTATTGTCCGAAAAATTACCAAGCTTATATCGCTTCATTATAGAATCTAATATATGGATGCATTCTCATGTCCAGCAATGGCCGCAGCCTTGCAGAAAATTGACATAGACCCAGAGCAGCAGCTTTACATACCCAAGATAGTGGACATTGCTGCTGCTGTGATAGAGATGTATGGAGACATCTGAGACTCTTCATTGGACACGACAACAACAACAGAAAATTGACATGGACCCAGAGCAGCAGCTTTACACACCCAATATAGTGGACACTGCTGTGATAGAGATGTATGGAGACATCTGAGGCTCTTCATTGGACACGACAACAACAACAGAAAATTGACATGGACCCAGAGCAGCAGCTTTACACACCCAATATAGTGGACACTGCTGCTGCTGTGATAGAGATGTATGGAGACATCTGAGACTCTTCATTGGACACAACAACAGAAAATTGACATGGACCCAGAGCAGCAGCTTTACACACCCAATATAGTGGACACTGCTGCTGCTGTGATAGAGATGTATGGAGACATCTGAGACTCTTCATTGGACACAACAACAGAAAATTGACATGGACCCAGAGCAGCAGCTTTACACACCCAAGATAGTGGACATTGCTGCTGCTGTGATAAAGATGTATGGAGACATCTGAGGCTCTTCATTGGACACAACAACAACAACAGAAAATTGACATGGACCCAGAGCAGCAGCTTTACACACCCAAGATAGTGGACATTGCTGCTGCTGTGATAAAGATGTATGGAGACATCTGAGGCTCTTCATTGGACACGACAACAACAGAAAATTGGCATTGACCCAGAGCAGCAGCTTTACACACCCAAGATAGTGGACATTGCTGCTGCCGTGATAGAGATGTATGGAGACATCTGAGGCTCTTCATTGGACACGACAACAACAACATAAAATCTAATTGCTTTGAACTTTTATTTCTTCTTAGAAATAATACCCAGCGATGGCTCCTATTGTAATTGGTGTACTTCCTTTTTCATCTTTACACAATATATTTGCATATTAGGTTGACTTCGAGATTAAATGTTTATTCCTTAAGGATTAGGATTTGGAAATAATTCTTGTAGTTCAACCTACGATCTCATCAATGTAACCATTTTAAAAATAATCAATACAATAATATTCGAAAACTATCCCGCATGTATTTCTTTTCAACGAAAAATCAAAATTTATTCCAAGGGGACAATAAACGATTATTTCTAACCTTTTGGATGAGGTATGAAAGGGTGAATTGTGAAGAGTAATGATAAACGGAAAAATAAAAGTGTCCAGGGATGGGAATTTTCAGTTTATCATTACTCTTCACAATTCACCCTTTCATACATCATCCAAAAGGTTATAAATAATCGTTATTTCTCCTTTAATAAATTTTGATTTTTCGTTGAAAAGAAACACATGCGGGATAGTTTTCAAATGTCGTTTTACAATCACAAGCCGCATTATATTATATTACAGTAATATTCATATCTTGTTACATTTCTCTCTGTACTCCTTGTATTCTACCAAATAAATAATTCTATATAAAACAAAATCGAATTCTATTCTTATATTCTATGCATATGTAATTAATTGACTTGGAAAAACCTTCCCTTATTAAATAAATGCGATGTTATAAATTCAACACGACACTGTTATTAACTTACAAATGCCCTCATTAATAAACATATTGGGGAATTTTCCCACAGCCTGAACTCAAAAGATTTATTATTTATGCAGACGAAGGAATATTTTAGCTGCCAAGTGAAGGAATGCCCTTCTTACTGGAGCGCTCAAGGAAATTAATTATTCATAGAGTTTAATAGGAAAGTATAATGGGGATTTAAGTGAAAATTTTTAAAGTGAAAAATAAAGAAAAATAATTTAACCCATTTTTTAAATTATATATATAAAAAAACTTTTTTTCCCTAAACGAATAATCATTTAAATCTCTTTCAAATGCACACGTATATATTATACATTACATTTTTATAGCTAGTGTTAAATAAAAAATCCTTATATAATTTAGAATAAATAGATTTTTAAATTTTAGCGATATTACATCGTGCTGTGTTATGTAGAAAATTTTATAAGATAGTGGAATTTTGATTGCATTTCAATATGGATATTTAATAAAACATTTTCAAAAAGGCAAGATGCTGTCATATCTTAAATTTTTATTCTTTTCAAATAAAGAAAAGAACACAAAAATTTTATCTTCAAAATATTTTTGCATTTGAATATAATTATAATTTGAATTTAATTCTTATTATAAAGAGAGAAAAAATATTTTTTATGATTATAATTATTTATATTTAAAATATTTTAAACTAATAAGTGTTTTAAATCAAATATTATTTTTAAAAATTCTTTGTTTATAAATTTTGAAATGCGCTATTAAGGAAAAATGCTACTAACTTTGAATTAGGTACATTCTTAATTTAATATTTACATTAAATAAATTATTTTATTCCTTAATTTTTTTATATCAGTATTTATTGTCTGTTTTTATGGTATCTTGTCACTCCAGATTCTTTGTTCGACATGGCTAAATCTGGAGCAATCCGTATGAACGTCATTAATCTAAATACGAAACGTATAAATATTGCAACATAGAAAATTAGGGCGGAAAAATAGTGACCAAGGATGGGAATCGAACCCACAGTGTTCCGCTTACCGGGCAGATGCCATGTCCACTAGGCTACCCTGGACATTAGGAAATTAAGAAAATTAGAAAAGGCAAACATCAGAATGACAAGGTAATTTATTTATAATGCAAAATTTATAAAATTTCAAGAGAGGTAATGAGGGAAGTTTACAGAGTAGTAAAAATCAAAATTGATAATCTATTAATAAAATAATAAATATTTTGATACAATAGAATCGTAATCAGAAGATAACGATATATTTTTAACGATATGTGTTGGAAAAAAAGAAGAATAGTAAATCAATGATCTTGAAATACTTTTAGACTGACAACACTGTAATATAAAAACGAGAACAAAGAAGTGTTTTGTTTTGTTTACAAAATTAGTAATTGTAATGTAAATTGTTAAATGTTCTTTTCTCTCTCTCTTTGAAAATAATAAATTTAAAATACTTTCTTAAAAGGTAAAATTGCCTAATTCTTTAAAACCACTTCAGCTGTAAGTAAACTTGTTATTTGTTGTTTCATTGTCTGAACCATAGAGATTCCCAACAATATGAACTTATTAAAGATTGTAAATCTTTCTTATTAAAAAATAAAATTCATAAAAAGCCATATTCATAGCAAATTTGTTAGACTTAAGTTCAGTCGCTGGAAGGGCTGTTTACAAATATCTATTTTGAAATATTTATACTTGAAAGAAATGCCTGTGGAAGAGAGTTATTTAACTAACAAAGTTTGCCAATGATAATAAATTGGAGAAGAAACTTTTTGCGGAGTATTTGATAAAGTATTTAAAATATTAAGTATATCTATTTAATTGCAGAAAATAAAATGGTCTCACATCATCTATATATATCAGAAACATATTTTATTACAACAACAACACAGCTTTATTAAGACCACCGGTCTTATACAGATTCACCACAGGAAGAAAGGAAGCATAGATGGAGCTTCTATACTCCAGGCAGCACAGTACAAGAGAATATCACACACACAGCTTTATTAAGACCACCTGTCTTATACAGATTCACCACAGGAAGAAAGGAAGCATAGATAGAGCTTCTGTACTCAAGGCAGCGCAGTACAAGAGAATATCACACACAACTTTATTAAGACCACCAGTCTTATACAGATTCGCCATAGGAAGAAAGGAAGCATAGATGGAGCTCCTATACTCCAGGCAGCGCAGAACCCAACAACAGGTCCGACGCATGTCCAGTGGCCCCACGTTCCTTCGTGCATTACGTCAAGGTTAGCGTATCACTGAAAGGCTAGTGTTGAATCAACCGCGTTTTAGTCTTCGCTTTCCTCATCCAAATGGACCGCGTCATTCGGCGAAATATCTTTTATTACATCTTACTTCATATAATGAATATTTGAGAACATTTGGGGGGACTAAACCTGACTACCAACACCTCTTAGAAGGCCCCCTGGATAACCAACCTACGGCAGGCAGCATCATGGAGACCCTTTATACTGAATTTGAAGGCGGAGTAAGGATCATCCCAACATGTACCATCTGTAAAAAGGAGGAGACAAACCCCAGACCATCTACTCTCGTGTATGGAAGTCACGACTTGTACCATAACTAATCCTAAACAAGATATATGTGTCTCCATGACATTGTGTGATGAAACAAGGTATAATAAAAAGTATATAGGTAAAAACTAATCATTGCATAAGTACAGAAAATAGCTAAGTATACAAAGTTAACAGCAATAGAATTATATCATATATTGAAAACACTTCTCCGCCATCCCGATACCAAACATAACACAAACAACAGTCAAAAATCCAACCTCATCTACAGAATCCCGTGCCGATCTTGCCCAGCTACATACATAGGAGAGACAGGAAAAACTCTGGAAGAAAGAACCAATCAACACCGGACAGGCCTTAAAAACTATAGCCCTCTTTCCCTTTTAGTAGACCACGCACTAAAACAGGACCACATACCAAATTTCGACTCAACAGAAATAGTATATCAAAATATCAAGGATAAACATTCAAGACTTTTTCTAGAAAGCTGGAGCTCAATAGAAGATAAAAACAGTATCAACCGAAAAATAGACATTCCTCAACTATACTTACAATTTAAAACCACATAGCCCACTACTATACACGTATATATGTATATATATGGCAAATTGCTGATTTTCAATTCGTTTATTTTAAATGTATATATTTACTTAATTCTCTATATATTAATGTTTTACATATTATATTATTATTAATAATTATATTCATAGAGGCATGCATATTGTAGATTCTAGATATTTAAATTTTATAGCGGTTGTATATACTCGCGAAATGATACGCGAGCTTCTCTAAAGCCATTTTGTTCCCAGAGGAAGTTTGGCGTGTTGCCTCACGAAATATCGGAAATAAAAACTTTATGATCCAAAATAGGCATTTTAAATATTGTAATATATGGATTGCTCTATTTTCAAGCATATATAAACTTGTATATAAATTCGGCGTGTGTTATAATTGGCTAGAAGTTGTAACTTCTGTATATCCGTGTTGAGGGACATGTTTGCCTGAAAGCTCGGGAAATAAAAGAACTGTGAAAAGAAACCTTTGATTCCTTAATGATTGTGTCAAATATATGTTATATAAAAATATTATTTTATTTTAAATTATAATTTCATAGATTCAAATACTCTGCTAAATCGACCGCCAGAGGTCACTCTTCTCCTATAAAAACTCGCTGTTTATTTTTCCCGCTGGCCGGCTCAAAACTTTTGTACATTATGTAAATAATCTTTTGTTTTCCTTATTCTACTCGCCTTAAGCCAGGCAGTACTTTAATCAAATTATGTCTTTTATACATTCCTTAGCTCAATTAAAGCAACCTCTGATCAAAACCATTATTTTCATTTCAAGATTTTTAACCATGACTGCATTACCATAGCATAATCTCAACAATTCTAAAATACAACAGAATTTTTTTTTGTTTTATAATATATATATATATATATTTGAGAACAAAGCTAAACAACCAAATATTTGAAGCTTTTCGTGAAGATATCGACTCCAGAACCTGATCAGATCAATTCGTCAATGATTGAAAGACTTCTTGGCCTCTCATATCGTTTTTTGTCAGAATTTCCCTCGCAGCCCCTGTCTAATTGTACCTTCCACACCCTGTCATCATCCATTGATATCTCAATGACACTTAATTGTCAATTCTTCGGCGACAATTCTCATAATTGTCTTTTAACCAACTTGATAGCACTCTAGTATTATCTTATCACACCTTTTAGCACTTGATCAATGTCATTAGTACAATCATTGCTATTATGGTTATATGAATATAAATTTCTCTTTGTGTTTCATATAAAAAGATTAAATGAAATTGTTTTGATATATATAATTAATATTTCTAAATTATTATAAACTTTTGATGTTAATATGGAATTGTTATGATATTTAATTGTTTCATAATTAGAAGAAAAGTAACGCTTTGTGATAGAAATAATGAATAATAGCTAATAAGTATTATATAGATTACGCTTCAATTATAGAGTAGTATCAATTGTATTGTTATTTATTTTTTAAATATAATTTTAAAATTAATATAAGTTATATGTATATATATATATATAAACAAAGTAGGCATATCCTGACCAGGAGCACATGTGCTTTTTAGATGGCAGAGCGCCATCTAGTGGAACAGAAATCAACTAACGTTGATTTAACCTGTTCCCTGATATTTGGCCAATTTCTTGATAAATCAAGAAAAGCCATCCACGAACGCGTTTCGCGCTGTTGGCACTCGTCAGCGTGGAGCAGACTGTACCACTGCGACCAAAACTATTTTTGGTTCCAGAGGCTTCTTGAGAAACCAAGAAAAGGGTATTTAAGGCCAAATTTGCATAAATACGCTTAACACATGAAAAAATAATAGAAAAAAAGTAAAAAGGTCAGTTGTTGATATTAAAAATAAAGAAGGCATATCCTGACCAAAATCACATGTGTAAACATGCTGATGAATACTCGTTATAACTTTTATTGTCAAAATCTTATTTACATTTTCTGAGAGAAAGTAAATTTGAAATTAAATTACTATAATAAAAACACTTTATTTAAATTTTAATTCTAATTAATATCTGCCATTCACAGTTTTTCATTTTTTATTATTATTTCTTGAAGAGCGGCTTCATTATAGATTGTAGTTCTTTCAATCTTGATGCTAATTTTGATTTTTTATTTAAAGAGTCCAATTGACACTTTTATTAATTTATGCTATGACAGCCGATCCTTACAAAAATATTACAGGAGGAATAACAAAAGTAAAAAAAAAAAAAGATACCTACACTCATGGACAAAACTTAAGGAAGTTGTACCTTTAAGCATGTATATGGGGATTCAGACAATAACTCTGGAAGATACACTCATGGACAAAACTTAAGGAAGTTGTACCTTTCAGCATGTATATGGGGATTCAGACAATAACTCTGAAAGATACACTCATGGACAAAACTCAAGGAAGTTGTACCTTTAAGCATGTATATGGGGATTCAGACAATAACTCTGAAAGATACACTCATGGACAAAACTTAAGAAAGTTGTACCTTTAAGCATGTATATGGGGATTCAGACAATAACTCTGAAAGATACACTCATGGACAAAACTTAAGAAAGTTGTACCTTTAAGCATGTATATGGGGATTCAGACAATAACTCTGAAAGATATTACAGTGACCTTTATTGAAGACATACGAGATAACTAAGTGTGAACAGTTTCTATCATCTTTAAAACAAACAAAAAAACAGACGACCTGCGATATTAAAGAAATTCTTCTAATTCCTTAAGCTTTGTCATTAAATATGTGTATATAGTGTTGCATAATGGCTAATGAACCTATTTTATTTTAATTTGTAATATTATTTTTCATATATTTTGATTTCAAATTTATATTTTATATTTACTTATTTTATTAAACAGAATATATGTATTATAGAATCACCATTTGTATTTTGGTACACTGTGTGACTTCACTGCTCTCTTTGATGTGAGAAATAAATAAAGGATTCTGGAGGCTACTTAAAGTAGAG